TGGTGCTCGACGGGACGCGACGTATCAATTCGGTGCGAGTGAGACAACAGAGGACCGGCGTATCTGGGAATGAGATGGTCAGCGCGTGATAACGCGGGCTGAGGTTGTTTGGAAGGGTTTCGTATGTGTTGCGCGGAAGGTGTTCGGTTCCATTAGACGTACTTCAGCGTCTCCCTTGTGCGTACGCCCTCGCTGTTCGCAGGCTGGGAACTGGACATGGCCATAACCATGGCCTGACAGTATTGTTATTGGTGGCTAAACCCCACAAGCCTATATCGATGAGCTGACAAGCTCGTCAAGCGGTACTGCAGTCTGCGCAGCGTGAGAGCATCCGCGATTTAGAGCAATCGGCGAAGGCGACATGTCCCAAAGTGGGCGGTTCACAAGAGTGGGATAAGGGGAGGAGGTGGTATGTGTGGACGGGGATGACGAGGCAAAAAGGCTCTTTTACTTCATAGTACTATCTCTGCCCAGCATCCCAGGTGTACAGGAACGCCATTCGAAACTCGATCTGCCCATATACGAGGTACAAGACCATATTACCACAGCATATTACCACACTACACTACACCACACTACACTGAACTACCTATGTCACTCCCCGAACGGGTGTAACATTTTATTCCGACTGATCTTCAAGACCACGGTCTAGGCCCACGAGGTTGTGGGCCACTATTTTGGCAGTGAAAACTAACGGTTTCATCATTGAACAGGGCACCTGGGGCCTTCCGTGGCTTCTTCATCAGTGGGTCTCATCCCAACAGAGATCGGTAGTTGCCATTATCAGCCTGCCTGCCAACCATCTTCTCTCAGATCTCGGAAGCTGCTTGAAAGACACCTCAGTGGAGATGCTGCTTGCAAGGCTGCTTAGCCAGCTTAGGTACCGTGCGTGGTCTACGTGTATTCTGGCATATCAAATCTCCAATAAGCCTTCCGGGAATTTGACGTCTCGGTGGCAAGATATGACAGAATGGGGCCCGAGGGAAAAACTCCATGTACGTGTACCATGTACCACAGTACTCCAGCTATGACGTAGTGGTGTAGTCCGTGGGAGCACTCTCGTGACCCCCAAACGGCGATGGAGCCCCGGGATTTCCACCCATATCTACAACACCTAGTGTACTATGTATTTTGTACGCGAGCCATACTATACATGGTAATAGTACTATGTAATAAGCCTTGAGGAAGGGGGAGAAACCACTGCCGATCTCTGGATGCCCAGGCAAAAAAACTAAAAATGTTCCACATCGGTCATCAGCGTCCAACTGGTGCGGTCATCGCCCAGCCTCAAGCTTCCTTTTCCAGGGTCCAGTTCGTCTAGGGGTCCATGGATTCGGGACTCGCTTCAGTACGCCGGCGCCTTTGAACCCCATCTCGTCAAGCCAGAATTAGACATCGATGTGAAGCCAGGGTCATGCTTGACATATGTGTGATATGTGAATCCATATATAGCTGGTTGGTGATGGGCTGCTACTAGATGCGGATAGGGATTGTACAGCAATGGAGAAGAGGTCGTCCCGTGAGTGCAAATTGCAGTATACTGTTTCCAGACACCTACTATGTGGGTACCTAGGTACCTAGGTCATGGGGAAATTTCGTCAAACAATCAGTTTGCCATACCGATTTTGCATATTGTCTGCTGCAATGTCATTGTGGGTCGGCTGTATATGACGTCAATAGGCAGGTACACTGATACCGGCTAACATGACTGGCCAGTAATTTTTCTTAGACTTTGAAATGAAGCTCAGCTGTGCATACCTGCCTACCTCCTACCTAGGTAGGTCTAGGGGCAAGGTAGGTACCTAGGTATTGTCTGTTGCTAGGGTGCACAAAAATAAAACCCGCTTATTACAAATGGAGGCCGAGTTCTTGCCAAATATTCGTCTAACGGGAACTAGTGGGCCTTCCGAGCCGAGCCAGCTTATCAGTGATTCAGTGCTTACCTACTCACCCAGCTACTGCAGCAACGTCGCGCTTAGCTCACTGCGCAATAGCACCCAGCAACACACACAAAGCTTCATTTGCGCCGAGACAACAAAGGGCCCCTAACCCTTTATACTCCATCTCGACAACCCGGCACAACTCTTGGGACCCTTCCGAGTCATCTTTCCACCCATATCTCGTGGCGGCGACGCGATAGCAATTGGAGCAATCTTCCAAAGAGCCGACGAGATGGCCGACTACGCGACCCTAAAGGTCCCCGACCTCAAGAAGCTGCTCCAGGAGCGCGGCCTCCCTCAATCGGGCAACAAAGCAGACCTTATCGCGCGCCTGCAGGACAACGACAAGAGTATGCCATCCTTCTATCCTTTCTCTGCCGTCGCATGGTCTACATGCCGTTTGCGCGCCACACCTCACCTCATCGCTGTATCGACATGCCGGAAACTTACCGATCTCTAGGTGCATCAGGCCAGGCCGAGGACGTAATTGACTGGGACGACGACGACACTAAGGATGCTACTGCCGCTACCAGCAAGAAGGAGGAAGAGTCCAAGCCTGCTCCTGTCGACGAGGCACAGAGCCCAGCCCCAGCCGCGCAAGTGGCTGCGCCCGCGCCGGCACCTGCAGAGGCTGAGACAGCCGACACAGCTGCGGCCTCGACTAACGAAGCCCCCGCGGCTGAGGCGGAGAAGACAGCCGAGGCACCTGCCGCAGACACAAACAATGCGGACGACGCTGCCGCCCCAGCAGCCGAGGAGGAGAAGCCCGCCGAGGAGGCTCCAAGCTTCGCGCTAGGCCTCGACGCGAGCAATGCCGACGAAGAGCTCAAGAAGCGAGAGGCGCGTGCCAAGCGCTTCGGTATCAGCACCGACGCAGAATCGGCAGAAGCCAAGAAGGCAGAGCGCGCCAAGCGCTTTGGCGTCGAGACCGAGACTGTCGTCAAGGGTCTCGATGCCCCTCTGCCGGAGCGCAGACCCAAGCGTGGCCGTGAACACGGCGACGAAGGTCAGGGTGGTGGCAAGAGACAGGCTCAGGACAGCCGTAACGGGGGACGCAACAAGGCCAGAGGCGGTCGCCGGGGCGGTGGTCGTCCCAACAAGCAGGGTGGCGGCGGCGGAGGTGGCGCGCCCAGGAAGGCCATCTCCGACGACCCTGCTGAGAGGGCAAGGGCTGAAGCTAGAGCCAAGCGTTTCGGTGGCGGCAACTAGTATGCGTCGTACGGAAGCGTAGTTGGCAAGCAAGTCGAACGAGCAAAGGCGGAGGCAAGAACCGAACGGTTTGGTGCGGGCGCCTACTACGAGCCGACTGGAGGGGTTCTGGATGATCCTGTCGAACGTAAGAGGGCTGAATCTAGGGCCAAACGGTTCGCTGGTAGCAAGGTTGTGACCTAGATCGCATCATATGGGATCTGGTATGTCGAGACGCTACAGCAAACACCGACTCGGCACTATTACACTCTTACTCTGCTACACCAATCCGACACAGAATGGCCTTTCACGACCGCATTCCAAACGCCAGAGGACAAAGGCCAGCACAAGACGTACTAAGAAGTGTTTGTAAATTATAAGGCGAATTGCAGAACGTTGGGAAGGAGGAAGATGCAGGTCTCTTTTCCAAATTGGCGTTATGGGCCGCGGTGCATTACTCAGTTATTAGGGACAGGTTCAATGATTATACCCATGACCCGGCTAATGGCGGTGGCTTGTCACCAACTTGCATATACTCACCCAGTGTCTACACTACCAAGGCTCTTCATGACTGAAGATGGATCTTATGGATGGCCCTAGGGTGAAGTGATGGAATGGATGGACGAAAGAAGTTCATGGCGCGCCCATGGCGTCGATGTTGGGTCTAGCACACGAACACCATGGAACAATTGAAATCAAGCTCGACCTGGCAGGATTCATATCAGGTCAAACCTTCAGCCCCGCAGAAGCCTCTAAGTGTGCCTGGACCCAGGGTGGGAGGCGACATTCAGCACTAGCGATCCAGAACTGTTGTGGCATGGTCTGGGCCATCTCAAGGGTATCACCACCGTACTTCGACGAATAAACGCAGTCCTCTCAGAATCGAGACCCTTAAAGAGAGACGTCAAAGCATCGCCGGTACTCGCCGACATCGACTTCATCACTATCACATGATTGCGATCTGCAGTCACTCACACCCCAGCACGTACACCCAGGCGATATCTTGATGCCCCACTAAGTTTTGAGGGATTAGGAACCCCCCCGGGGAAGTCTCCATTGTCATAGTAAGAGTTCAATTTGATGTAACTGGCAGTATGGGGTTGATACCACCTCGGTCAAGTAGTCATAAACCCACATTGTGCATTCCTATTTCAATGGCCACGCGAGATGTATTACATGGAACACCAGAAGTGATAGCTATCTGCCGTTGGTTTTTTTCTTTCTCTTCTCTTCCTTCCGCGGTAAACGTTGACTTCATATTCGGTGCTTATGGATGTAGAGAATATCACGGCCCACTACTTGATCAAGTGTACAATACTGAGTGATGATGGGTCAACCTGCGTACGGTCTGATGTCTGGAGGCTCAGCCGGCCCAGACGAGCCCCCAGCAGTCGTGACAAATCCGACAAATTTTATTATTGCGTAGATTACAATGGATAATGAACTTCAGTCTGGAAGGTACTTCATCTCCGAGAGCTTTGATGGGGCCTGGAGATCACATATCAACATCAGACTGAGGGATACAAACGGGATACAAATTCTGGATAACGCAACACAACTGCTCACCTCTCACTCAATACCTTTTGATTCGAGGGGTCTAATAAGGTTCCAAGGGCCAATTTAAAGAGAGAATAAAGATTAAATTCAATGACTACCAGGAAGAGCTTATGTATCTTGCTTTGCGATGACTTCCGAGGTGGGACAGCCTGGTGAACACTGGTGACCTGCATACGATCACGTGGGTACAATAAGCAGGTAACATAGCACAAGTAGTGCCCAGGATCAATGCCAGCATGGCCCATGAAAACCACTGACATGACCAGGTCAAAAAGAAGCTATATATATGTATATATATGAGTGAAGGTCAAAAAGCTCTCCCGCCGGGAATTGAACCCGGGTCTCGAGCGTTGTGAAGCCACATTTGAAACGTGGATCTTGACAAGCTCACATACTGACCACTATACTACGGAAGACGTTTACTTGACTCTCGAATTGTGATTCGAGGTAGCAGGTGTGGTTGTTGTGGAAATCGGGTTGAGATGGGGGCTTATATCGCTTGTGAATTATGTGGCCCGCTGGGCGGGATTGTGGCGCCGGCCCTCGGTAATTTGCCGTTGAGATACAAGGATCACGGTGGGAGATATTGAATTTTTTTTCCTGCATTGGAATCTTTCTATTGTGTGTTTGGGACTTGACTTCGCTCTTTGTTGAATATGGGTCGTCGTTGACTCGTCCATATAGAGCTGGCCCGGGTGGGCGCACGAGGATGTCTCACTATTACATGTCATGCTATACGCAGTCAGGGGATCATGCTGCGGGTACAACTCGCTATCCTGAGCAACAGATTTTCCCGGTACGAAGCCAGCCGTAATGTCCGAGCGATGTCTTACTTGTATAGACACTCTCACAGCGTGCCTGCACTCATAGCGGGTCCATAAAAACACACCATGACAGCAACGAGTTGCCTCCGAGAAAGGCGATGGGGAAATCCTTCTATGAACGGACTAAGGAATCCATTAGATGGCACAGGGTAGCATGTAAATTGTCACATTCTTGAGAGGCCCGAATCTCAGCCATATCAGGTGACCAAGCCTTCATGTGGTGACTCCTGTCCTGTCACGCAGCACCATGGATCATATCACACATATATGTGAGGGCCAATCCAATCAAGCGCCTCCCGATTGGGGTGGAGTACTATGTACGTTAGGTCTGGTATGGCGTCCTCACAAATGATAGCCGGGCCCAGACTGGCGGCCAGCCCGCCCAAATGGGATTGCAAAATGGTCGTTGGTTTGTAGAACGAGAAATGGCGTCGCCGTCCTGAACATCCAGTGGGTTGGAGGATCCAGCTGTGCGCTACATGTGAACAGTTTCCTAAGCCTACAAAGAGGATGGCGGCTTCTATGTGAAGCTATTTGTGAATTACGTCCCCGCGATATTGTGGAGGGGGGTTGGGTGGAGCGACCACACAGACGGATTTCCACTCACACCAAGGGCATCTTCGAGCAGTCCAGCGTCAGAACTAGAGCCATCCATGGCAAGAAGAATGATCCCGAAGGAGCCTATGGATGAGCTTGGATGGTGAACCTGGGATCTCATAGGCTACCTAGGTACCCGATGGGTGCTCCCACCTGCGGGTCGCCCTTTCGGGAGCCCGCTGTCAGGCGGGAAAGACGCGCTGTTGCATTGTAGTGGATGAGGAATGGGAATGGGAATGGGAATGGGAACAAAGGCTTGGCCAGTATACCTCGTATTTGCTGTTATTGGCAGCCTCGAAACTTGCTTGAGCGCACATGACGACCGTACCATGTGGCCGAACTCAGCATTTGTTGAGCCTCGAGCTGAATGAAGGATTGACAAAGGGTGTCCAAAGATGATTGGGGCATGCTGCCTAGGTAATCAAGTATGTAAGCCAATCTCCAGTTGGAGTGACCCTTCGGCTCAACTATCAGGTTCCAGCAGCTGATATACAACATGGTGAGATGTCAGAAGCTGGGTTGTATGGAGGAAAGTCGGCCAGATTGGACCCGCTGGACGAGGCACCAGGCTCGAGTGCGCTCGACGATCATACCTTGTAATTAACGTTGATAAGCCATTGGAACTCGATACAGATAACAAGAGAGAGTCGTCGTCAAACATGTGGTACTATGAAGTACGCATGACCGGCCAACTTCTCGGCGAATCATACACCGGTCCCGGGAATTGAGACAGCTGTATCACCGACGATTTCTTCAAACATGTCTTGGACTGGCCTTGAATGCCGGATCAGCATATTATTACATCCTAGATCTGCTTCACAAAAAGGTGTGCTCATGATGATAAGCCGTGCTTGAAGGAGCTGCGGCCAGGAAGAGTTGATCGCAATAACATGAAGCCCATGTCTGTCATCCATCGTTCCCTGGCACTGCTCGCGGCAACGGCGTTTGACACCCAGTAACAGTCATCGGTAATGTTGGCACTAACATGTATTCAGACGGTATTAGTACATAGTTACGTGCACATGCAGCCTTGATGTAGAGCAGAGCTCGAATTCGTCGTCCAAGCTAGGAAAGACTTATTTCTCTTCCATCTCCTTTGGGTGGGGTTGTTGATCTCAAGATATTGTGGAGGACTCCTACCAACGGGGCCACCCCTGTCAAGGCGCTTAAGCTCGGCGATCCAATGAGATCTGCGATCCCGGTAAGTCGACCCCTGTTTCGGGAGCAGTGATCCCAGTCACGAAGAGACAACGATCGCTGAATTGGACACTACGGACTCGTGGTCCACCTCCGCGTCCACCTTCGCGACGACGACAACGACGACGGGAGCTTTGTCATCGTAGGCAGATACAATCAATATACAAATCGCACATGTATCTATCGTCTGAGAAGAAAGATGTTGCGGTGACCAAGATAGTCTGACAACTTTCTGTGCCACGTCACCAGCCTCAAGTCACCCAGATAGGTTGATTTTCTGGTTCTCGTGTGGCGGTGCAACTCGCCACAAATCGAATTCCTGCCAACTCACAAGGAGCAGCGCGAGTCCCATATAATCTTGCATCGTATGTACATGTATGTATGTCTCAGATCCGCGAACCATAAGCCCCGATTTTTTGTGAGCCTATCTAACTATAGCTTTTGTCTCTCGTCTCTTCTGCGCAGGCAGCTCTCCTACGAACATCGGGCCAACGCACCACAGTTGCCACAGGCAGAATATGCAATGTTCAGCTGGCTCTGCTCGCCTAGTCCGTGGATCGTGTCATCCTGCGACCCGTGAGGCCGGGCACACGACCATCCGTAGGTGACAGAGATCCGAATATGTTGATACCATCATGATGAACAACGGACGCGGCTGTGGGACAGTGGATCTGCCGCGCCGCTGTTCAGTTTCGTTGGCAGTTTCACGGCGGCGACTTTGGCCAGCGCACTATCTCCAAGTCTGCGTCGACTGCCTAGGTGCCCAGATCGCGTACTATACGTATGTACATGTTGTACCTGCATAGCCTCATGTAGAAGTGGATATTCCAGTTCTATTCTTGTCATATCTTGCATCTGCGATGCGTTGCCTCCCCGTCGAAGTCGATGATGTGGGGCCGGTCAGTACATGTACTTACTGGTCTGGTGTTGTGCAAGGCAATTTGTACACCCGGCCCAAAAAGCAAATGGGTAAGCAGACACTCACGGGATGGTGCAATTATCTGAGGATCTTCTGAGGATTCGCATTCACGCCACAACATTTCTCCAGGGATTTCTCCTTAGTAGTATCATATCCAATGCTCTGATTGCATTCATTGGTGTCCATCGCATCATCGCGCGAATCCCAGAGATGGCGGTTTCAAGCCAGCTCACCCTTGTGGTCGATAGTAGTGGGGGCACTCTCGAGCAAGATCGCATAGATTATTTCAAGAGTCATGTTGTTGATTCAGGACGTCAGACTCTTATCAAAAGTGTATAAGGTACTCACATTAGAAATCAGGAATGAGGAAGGTGCAAAGGGACCTTGGGTCAGCCAAGGATTACACCGCGGTTACTACGAGAAAATGTTGATCTAATTCCCCTAATTTGGCGTCAAGGAGGGGTCGTGAGTGCTCTAAAATCTGTGATTGGAGGCTTATTCTGCCAGGACAGCCAATCAGAATTCTGATACACTATTGACTTCTGGTTGTGGCTTGTTTGACGACGAGGAATTGACGAATCTATGGCTTCCGCTGGTGAAAGTCTCGACCTGACAATTAGAGGTTGGTGGGTGACCGGGGTTGAAGCTGTGTAGTTTCTAAGAGCCTCGGTCCGTGAGATCATTGATTGCCGGACCACAAAATCAAGTTCTCAACGCAATGTCGAATGCTGTGCTTCCCCAGGTTATCCGGGGTCTGCCAGGGTAAGCCTCTCGAGACCATGAGAGGGATGGCTTATCTCGGATATAGGATGTAATGGTGTAATGACAGCATCCTGGATCTATGGATTCAATAGTGGTAAACTTTATGGCCCGTGTGATTGTGGAGAGAGACTGCAACGGTTCTGGTATAGGGTCGTGCTGACCACCCACTGCCCAGGTGTCGTTGCATGGACTGGACCGCGAACCTTGTCCTGGTCTCATCGTCTGTGTGGCAGTATAAGCCTTTAACGGACGATGATCCCGACAGATCAAGACCTCGGTCTTGCTACCCTGCTCACAGTACTATGGTGGTTTTTGTGCTATGTGCTAGACCTTCCTAGCCTTTCCAAAGTGCCGGGACCTGCAATACTGCCCAGGTGGAGACTGACACAATACGGGTACCTACCGATGCCTGTACGGATTTGTATTCTATACTCACAACAAACTACCTAGGTACGTGGCTACGTGTGTACCTAAGTACTGAGGTAACAAGTAACTACCTAGGTACCTATGCGGCATGACCTCACGATAGCTTATGAGTGTCGCGTGCGTAGTCAGGTAAGGCTTGCGAATTCAAGGCTGCAGCTTGCAAGACCCAGCTGGAGTGGTATGCTCTCGAAAATCTTAGATAGGTACAAAGATAATGTTTCAGTATCGTCGTCCCCTCGAGGTACCGTTGCAAACGACAGGCTTACATCCAACTGTTATATCCGTAGTGGAGTTACTTGGTGGAGCTTCCTGTAATCCTGGCCCTGGTCCAGCGCTTCGAGTGTGAGTGGGCTTGTGGATTATTTGAGTTTCCTGCATCGAGGAGGGCGAGGGGACAAGACCATTCGGCGCACAGAGAGAGAGAGTAAGACATTGTCTAAGACATGCAGATAGACATGCAGACAGACATGCCGTACTAAGGGTACGCGGGCTGCCTATGGCTCATTCGGTCCTGCGCACGTTTTATGGCTTGAGACTTTGCGACACTTTAAGACATGCATGGATGGTCCGTACCACACGGGCGGGGAAGTCGCCAGATTCGTTATAGTATACTCCCAGGTGGGAAGTCGTCTCCTAAGCTTCCCAAGACGTTTGCAACCTCAGTACTTTCAGTTTTGACCTCTAAAGGCCT